GAAATATTAAAGATCAGAGGAGAAATCCATGAAACAGAAACCAAAAGAATAGTAGAACAGATCAACAAACTAGGAGTTGGTTCATTGAAAGAATTAACATGATTGATAAACCCCTGGCCAGACTTATCAAAAAGAAAAATGACCCAAATCAACAAAATCATGAATGAAAGAGGAGAGATCACAACCAACACCAAAGAAATACAAACAAGTATAAGAACATATTATGAGCAACTATATGCCAGCAAATTAGATAACCTGGAAAAAAATGGAGGCATTCCTAGAGATGTACCAACTACCAAAACTGAACCAGGAAGAAAGAGAAAAGCTGAACAGACTTATAACCACTAAGAAAATTGAAGCAGTCATCAAAAATCTCCCAACAAACAAAAGCCCAGGGCCAGATGGCTTCCTAGGGGAATTCTACCAAATGTTTAAAGAATAATTAACACCTATTCTTCTGAAACTGTTCCAAAAAATAGAAATGGAAGCAAGACTTCCAAACTCATTTTATGAGGCCAGCATTACCTTGATCCCCAAACCAGACAAAGACCCCATCAAAAAGGAGAATTACAGACCAGTATCCTTGATGAACATGGATGCAAAAATTCTCACCAAAATACTAGCCAAAAGGATCCAAACAGTACATTAAAAGGATTATTCACCACGAACAAGTGGGATTTATCCCTGGGCTGCAAGGTTGGGTCAACATCCACAAATCAATCAGTGTGATACAATATATTAATAAAAGAAAGAACAGGAACCACATGATCCTCTCAATAGATGCAGAAAAAGCATTTGATAAAGTACAGCATCCTTTCTTGATCAAAACTCTTCAGAGTATAGGCATAGAGGGTACATACCTCAATATCAAAAGCCATCTATGAAAAACCCACAGCAAATATCATTCTCAATGGGGAAAAATGAGAGCTTTCCCCCTAAGGTCAGGAACACGGCAGGGATGTCCACTATCAACACTGTTATTCAACATAGCATTAGAGTCCTAACCACAGCAATCAGACAACAAAAAGAAATCAAAGGCATCCAAAATGGCAAAGAAGAAGTCAAACTCTCACTCTTTGCAGATGATATGATACTTTATGTGGAAAACCCAAAAGACTCCACCCCAAAACTGCTAGAACTCATACAGGAATTCAGTAAAGTGGCAGGATATAAAATCAATGCACAGAAATCAGTGGCATTCCTATACACCAACAACAAGACAGAAGAAAGAGAAATTAAGGAATCGATCCCATTTACAATTGCACCCAAAACCATAAGATACCTAGGAATAAATCTAACCAAAGAGGCAAAGGATCTGTACTCAGAAAACTATAAAATACTCATGAAAGAAATTGAGGAAGACACAAACAATGGAGAAACATTCCATGCCCATGGATTGGAAGAACAAATATTGTGAAGATGTCTATGCTACCTAGAGCAATCAAACACATTTAATGCAATCCCCATCAAAATACCAACAACTTTCTTCAAAAAATATGGCACAAATAATCCTAAAATTTGTATGGAACCAGAAAAGACCGCGGATAGCCAGAAGAATGTTAAAAAAGAAAAGGAAAGCTGGTGGCATCACAATTCCGGACCTCCAGCTCTATTACAAAGCTGTCATTATCAAGACAGTATGGTACTGGCACAAAAATAGACACATAGATCAATGGAACAGAATCGAGAGCCCAGAAATGGACCCTCAACTCTATGGTCAACTAATCTTCGACAAAGCGGGAAAGAATGTCCAGTGGAAAAAAGACAGTCTCTTCAACAAATGGTGTTGGGAAAATTGGACATCCACATGCAGAAGAATGAAACTGGACCGTTTCCTTACACCACACACAAAAATAGACTCAAAATGGTTGAAAGACCTAAATGTGAGACAGGAGTCCATCAACATCCTAAAGGAGAACACAGGCAGCAACCTCTTCGACCTCAGCCGCAGCAACTTCCTAGAAACATCGCCAAAAGGCAAGGGAAGCAAGGGCAAAAATGAACTATTGGGACTTCTTCAAGGTAAAAAGCTTTTGCACAGCAAAAAAAAAAAGTCAACAAACAGAAGACAACCGACAAAATGGGAGAAGATATTTGCAAATGACATATCAGATAAACAGCTAGCATCCAAAATCTATAAAGAACTTATCAAACTCAACACCCAAAGAACAAATGATCCAATCAAGAAATGGGCAGAAGACATGAACAGACATTTTTCCAAAGAAGACATCCAAATAGCCGACAGACACATGAAAATGTGCTCAACATCACTCAGTATCAGGGAAATCCAAATCAAAACTTCAATGAGATATCACCTCACACCAGTCAGAATGGCTAAAATTAACAAGTCAGGAAACGACAGATGTTGGCGGGGATGCGGAGAAAGGGGAACCTTCCTACACTGTTGGTGGGAATGCAAGCTGGTGCAGCCACTCTGGAAAACAGTATGGAGGTTCCTCAAACAGTTGAAAATAGAGCTACCATACGACCCAGCAATTACACTACTGGGTATTTACCCCAAAGATACAAATGTAGGGATCCAAAAGGGTATGTGCACCCTGTGTTTATAGCAGCAATGTCCACAATAGCCAAACTGTGGAAAGAGTAAAGATGTCCATCAACAGATAAATGGATAAGGAAGATGTGGTGTGTGTATGTATATCACACACACACAATGGAACATTATTCAGCCATAAAAAAGAATGAAATCTCGCCATTTACAACTACATGAACGGACCTAGAGTATATAATGCTAAGTGAAATAAGTCAGTCAGAAAAAGACAAATACCATATGATTTCACTCATATGTGTAACTTAAACAAAGCAAAGGAGTAAAGGGGAAAAAAAGGAGAAACACACACAAACCAAGAAACAGACTTTTAACTATAGAGAACAAACTAATGGTCACCTCAAAGGGAAGGTGGGCAGAGGGATGGGTGAAATATGTGATAGGGGATTACAGAGTATCCTTGTCATGATGAGTAGCAAGTGATTAACTTAAAAACTTTTTTAAAAAATATAAAAATATTTTTTTAAAAGATTACAGCATGGTAAAAGCATGGATTTGGAGTCAGGCCACACAAACATTTATAAATTTTGACAAATGTCCAAACATGCCCTAAATGAAAAATAAGGAAGCTCTGGTTTAATGAAATAAGCAATCTCAAAAATGTATATATTTGACAGAGATTTAAATTAGTGCAACCATCCTGGAAAGCAATTAAAGTATAAATACCAAAAACCTAAATAAATTAAATTATATATATATATAAAGTGTGTGTATATATATATATATACACACACAGATAATTTGACACAGAAATACACTTATGAATTGAATTTATTCAATATCTTCTAGGAAAATAATGGGTTAAGTATGCAAGGATGAATGTCCAAGAATATTCTCTAAAGTAATGTGTATATAGCAAAATACTGCAAAACCCCAAATGTCTAACAGCATAGCACTGACTGGTAAAATTATTATGCTATAACCACCCCTTGGAATACCATGCAAACATTAAATGAACATTATAAAGAATGAGCAATCACATTTACTTAGACATCCATGATGGATTATTAATTGAAAAGTGCAGATTTCAAAATAGTAGGAGAATTACCTCATTTATATAAAAAGTAATTTTAATCACACAATTAAGAGAAAATACCCTTGAATAATATACTAGAAAATGTTAATTACTTGTACAAGTAGAAAATAGAGGCTTTTACATTTTGAGTAAAAAAAGTTAATAGTAAATCTACACAAAACACAGACAATTGATAGTTGATTATATAAGTCCATGCATGCATGGACTTGAAACTATCTACATATTTAATCTCAGTTCTAAGCACACATTTCAAGTTTTGACTTTTGAAAATTAACACTTCTTCAAAATTGTAACTTAGACTTTTTTAGGACTTCAAAGGCACTGAGGGACACCTGTGTCATCCCAACACAACTAGTGCTGTTCCTATACTGTTAAACAATTCATGTTTAGTGTGCCTTGCAATTGTAAGTAAATTACAATTCTGTGAATGTGTAATGCTGTGCCAGGATTTGATTTTGAGTTACTGCCTCCCCACCCGCAAAAAACTAAAAGACTTCTATAATAAACTCTCTGAAGTTCATTTAAAAAAATTTTTTTTTAAAAACACCCAACAAAATGTCACTTCTTTAATAGCTTTAGAAAGGAGTGATCATCAGTGTGGGCCCCAGGAAGTGAAGGGAAAACATCAAATAGACTTATTCTGACATTTAGACAAGTCTGCATTTTCTCTCCTAACAAGCATCTCCACCAAAATATTACAGGGGAAGAAGAACCTTAATACACAGTAACATAAGAGAACAACTTTAACAATTATTTAAATTATCTAAGAATTCATAATAATTTAGTAATTTAATACTGAACTAATTACAAACTTCATATTAAAGACATTTAGATTTTATTCATTTAGATTAGAGTTATAAATGGATTATGGTATGCTAAATCATCTATAAGGAACATTAAAGATATTGAAAAATTAATAAAATTTGATTACTGGTCCAAAAAAAGAAAAAATTTCTTGAAATAACTCAGAGAGAGAAAAACAAATATTGTATGATCTCACTTATATGTGGAATTTAAAAGAAAATGGAATTCACAGAAACAGATTAGATTGGTGGTTGCTAGGGAGAGTGAGTGAAGGTGATCAAAGAATACAAACTTCCAAGTATAAATGAGTAAGTTCTGGTGATCTAATGTATAGCAAGGTAACTATAGTTAACGACACTACACTGTATACTTGAAAATAGATAAAAGAGTAAATCTTCCAAAGTTCTTACCACACACAAAAAAAGTAACCACATGAGGTGATGGATGTGTTAACTCACCTTATTGTGATGATCATTTCACGACATGTATGTATATCAAATCATCACATTATACACCTTAAATTTACACAATGTTATACATTAGTTATATCTCAATAAAGCTGGAAAAAAGAGAAAAGATAAAAGTACTTACCACTAAGTCCCAATTATTTTGTTCAAGCAATGTAATAGCTTCATCAATGTTTTCAATGCCAGTACATGCCTGGAAGCAAAGTGAAAATTTTAGATACAGGTTTGGGAATGGGGAGGTTAATCTTAAAAAGATAAAAAAGCATAATGTGTTATTTCAGTTTTAGAAAGGTATATGAATAAAGCCACTAAATGCCTAACACTTCTGAGCAATTTATAAATATGGTTTGAAAATTGTTAATTACAAAATAAATTTACATTGCACTGAAACAAAAAACAATAAATTAAAGCAATAAAAGAAAGTATGTTTAAATGTTGAGCTTTGGAGCCCAGAATGATCTCAAGATTTCTAATTGCCCAGAACAACTTTTATTAAAAAGTTTCTAATGGGGCTCCATGCTGGGCATGGAGCCTACTTTAAAAAAAAAAAAAAGTTTCTGACAGACAACCATATAAAAAGAAGAACTGCAATCCATACCTTATACCTTATACTTTATACAAAATTTAACTTAAAATAAATAACAGATTTAAAGTAAAACCTAAAAAAATAAATAAATAAAATAAAATAAAGTAAAACCTAAAACTCTAAGACTTGCAGATCTGTGCTGTCTCCTATGGTAACCACTAGACATACATGGCTAGTGAACCCTTGAAATGCACCTCAACTGACTTAGTATGTGCTGTGTTAAATACACATGCGAGTAGGACTTAGTACAAAAATAAAAATGTAAATACTTATTATTAATTTTTCATGGCATCTGGCTGGCTCAATCAGTAGAGCATGCAATGCTTGATTTTAGGGTTATAAGTTCGAACCCCACGTTGGATACAGAGATTACATAAAAATAAAATCTTTAAATATAGTAATAATTTTCTATTCAATGTGTATAGAGATGACAATTTTGAAAATGTTGGCTTAATTAAAACAATGTTTAAATTAATTTCACCTGCTTCTTTTTTATTTTAACATGAATACTAAAAACTTTTTAATTATTTATGACTTTCATTCTATTTTTAGTACTGAAAACATAGGAAGAAATCTTCATGAGCTTTATATACAACAGCAAAAGCAACACCCAAAAAATCGATAAAATGGACTTCTTTAAAATTAAGAACTGCTCTTTGAAAAACACTGTTAAGAAATGAAACAGCAAGCCAAAGACTGGGAGAAAATAACTGCACAACACATCTAACAAAGGACTAATAACCACAATATAAGAATTCTCAAAACTCAATTAAAATAAATAATAAATAGCTAAAGATTTCAACAGAAACTTCCCTAAAGAAGATACAAAAATATACATGAAAAAATGCTCAAAAGCATTACTCAATAGGAAAATATAAAACAAACATAGAGAGATTCCACTTCCATACATTAGAGTGCTAAAATTCAAAACACTGACAATATCAAGTGATGGTAAAGATGCAGAAAAATCAGAACTCTCGTACACTGACATATGTGTGATGTACACATGTATATCAAAATTATGTGGCCACTTTACAAAACAGGTTAGCAATATCTAAGAAAGTTATAACACAGTAATCCCACTTCCTAGGTATTTACTTATCCAAAAGAAATTAAAACTATGTTCACATGAAATTATAAAATGAAAGTTTACCACAGCATTATTCATAATCACTGAAAACAGAAGACACCCCAAATGTCCTTCAACTATACATTCATACAACAGAAAACTACTCAGCAACAAAAAATGAACAAATTATTGATTTGAACTCAAAATGATGTGGAGAAATTCTCAAATGCATTATGCTAAGTGAAAGCCAGGCTCAAAAGGATACATACTGTATGATTCCATTTATATGACATTTTAGAAAAGACAAAATTATAAAAACAGAAAACATATTAATTATTACCAGAGGCTTGGGGTAGGAGTAAGGGTTGATAACAAGCATTAAGAGGGAAATTTGGGGAGTAAAGGGAACAAAATTTGATTCCTGGATACCATAAAAATGCAACAAAGCAAACAAGACATTAAAAAATGCAATCCTTACATCAAAAACTAATGTTGTAATGTATGGTGGTTAACATAACAATAAATTTAAAGAGAAAAAAAATGCAATCCTTATTTTAAGCCGAACGAAAAAACAGGAATAACCCAAAGGTTCTAAAATACTCATAAAAGCAGCTAAGAAGGAGTTAAGATAGGGCAGAAGCTGCACAGGAGGAACAGGAGAGAAAAACTATAGGGGGGTAACTGTGAGCCTAACAGCAACAAATATCAGAAAACACCAGCAAAATACACTTCCTCAATGACATCACCCTTTTTTCCCCCTCAGAAAAACATATAGGAGGTAGTTCCAAGGGCCTGTCCCCTCCATAGAAACAGCTAAAAATGGAGCAAAAACTGTCAGAACCAAATTTCTCAAAATTCTGGAAATTAGTCAAAGGTTTACATCAATCAAACAAATGCTAAAACATGAAAAAAGTACTTCAAAACAATGTGAAAGCTTTGTGATGTTTTTATTTCCCTTTCCCTCTCTTGGCTCTGTGGCAGTCTTGAATATACTAGCCCACATTCCAACAGTTAAACCCTGGTCTCTGGTTCTAGAGGGAGCAAAGCAGACTCTGTTCTAAAAAAATTTTTTTGTCTGCTGTGACCTGTGCAGGGCTACCTGAAGAACTGACTCAAGGCTCTCTCCTTTATTTTATCAACTTGAAAATCTCTTAGTACAGAAAAGCAGCTATGCAGAGGGCATTCTTCAGGAAAAAAAAAAAAATTTTTTTTTAAGATTTTATTTATTTATTTGACAGAGAGAGACACAGCGAGAGAGGGAACACAAGCAGGGGGAGTGGGAGAGGGAGAAGCAGACTTCCCACTGAGCAGGGAGCCCCATGCGGGGCTTGATCCCAGGACCCTGGGATCATGACCTGAGCCTAAGGTAGGCATTTAACGACTGAGCCACCCAGGCGCCCCTCTTCAGAGAAATTTTTAGGGCAAATGAAAACCTCACTGCCACCTGGGACAAAATATTCCAGTTGAGGCAAACAACAAGACATACCAAAAACCTGCAAGAAAAAACGGCAAGAGAGTTTCTTTGGGAAATTAGGACATTAAAAAACACTGGGAATTTAGAAAGCCATGCATATGTGCAAGGCAAGAAACCTACTCAGAGAAGACCTGAGAAAACTACTGGCTCATCTCTAGGCTCAGCATAAACAGGAAGTAAAGACAGACGTGTAAACAGCCTAAGTGTCAGAGCGCTCCAACACAGACCCAGTCTGCAAAGACTAAGAAAGGATTTTCTTTTTTTTTTTTTACTTCAGATAGTCAAGGAAATCTCTCTTATACTACTAGCAGACCACAGCTAAAGAAGAAAAGATTTCAGAGACCATTATGTACCCATTGTCTGTGCCCCACCCTCATATACACACCAAAATTCATATGTTGAACCCCTAATCCCCACTGTGATGGTACTGAGAGATGGCGGGGGGGCCTTTGGGAGATAATCAGGTTTAAATGAGGTGATGAAGGTGGGGGCCTCATACCGGGATTAGTGCCCCCTTATAATGGGATTAGTGCCTCTTATCAGAAGAGACACCAGCGGGTGTTTCCTTTCTCTCTCTGTCTCTCTGTCTCTGTCTCTGTCTCTCTTTCTCCCTGCCATGTGAGAGCCAAGGGAGAAGGTGGCCATCTGCAAGTCAGGAAGAGAGTTCTCACCAGAAACCAATCATGCTGGCAACATGATCTCAGACTTTCAGCCTTCAGAATTATGAGAAAATAAATCTGCTCTATGATATGCTGTCATGGTAGCCCAAGCAGACTAAGACAGAGACAGCTCACCACCAAAATAATTACAAAAATAGTTTAGAAAAGTTCATAAACAGGTAACAACCCACAGAAAGCAACAAAAAACAAACCATAAGGTGGAGGAGGAAGAATCTAATTTCCAGAGATATTACATTATAATATTTAAAATAATCACTTTTTAAAAAGGAAATAGTGATGTATGCTAAGAAATAAGAAAGTATGACTCATTCAAACGAGAAACTGACAGAAACTGTCTGTGCGGAAGAAGAGACAGTAGACTTACTGGGCAAAGACTTTTCAATCATCATCTTAAATATTCTGAGTTCAAAGAATCCATGAACAAAGAGCTAATGGGAACCAGAAAGACAGTGTGTCAACAAATAGAGACTATCAATAAAGAGATACAAATTACTTCAAAAGGAACCAAAGAAAAAAATTCTGGGGTTGAAAAGTACAATAACTGAAATGAAAAACTAACTACAAGCTTTCAATAGCAACTCTGAGAAAGCAGAAGAAAGATCAGAGAACTTGAAGATCAAATGCAATTGTCTAGGCTGGGGAGCACAAAGAAAAATCAAAGAAGAAAAATGAACAAAAAGAAAGAGAGATGGAGCTGTACAAGAACAGTTTTTATATACTACAGAAGCTAAGCTGGTATTAATTCAAAATAGATTGTTATAAATTGGACAGGCTATTTATAACCCCTAGAGTAACCACTAAGAAAATAACTAAAAAATATACAGAAATACATGAAAGAGGAATCAAAACAGTACAATACAAAAAAGTCAAATAAACAAAAAGGAGAGAGAGTAAAGAACTGAGGAAATTGAGGAAAAAAGAATGATAGGCCAAAAACAAATAGCAAAATAGCAGAACTAAAGGCATCCTTATCAGTAATTATTTTAGGTGTAAATGGATTAAACTCTCCAATAAGAAGGCAGAGATTAGCAGAATGGATAAAAAGACATGATCCAACTATATGCTGTCTACAGAAGACTCACTTCAGATTCAAAGATACAAAGAGGTGAAAAGTGAAAGAATGGAAAAATATATGTGCAGTTAATAACCAAAAGAAAGGATGGCTGGCTATCCTAATATCAGATAAAGTAGACTTTAACTAAAAAAATTTTATAAGAGAATAAAAAGGACATTATATACTGATAAAAAATTCATCAAGAAGGTATAAAAATAAGAAGTATATACATACCTAATTACAGAGCCTCCAGAATAAATAGACAGAATTGAAAGAAGAAATAGACAGTTTTACAATAACAGCTGAAGATATCAATATCCTACCTTCAAT